GATCTCAGAATCCGGCTAGTTGCAGTGGCATACCATTTGCCACCATTTAGCTGCTGAATCTTGCTGTGATAAGAGGGAACCTACGAGTATCTGTTCATCAGACTAAGTCCCATGAAATTCTGCCCGATTTTCCCATCGAAAGGTGGCACATCTTTCAAAAGGAAAAAAACTCATGTAGTTTGGTAAGACGTATCCTAAACCATCCCCAATTTACCAACTTTTACGTTTTTGGGCATCATAAATATATGTACCCCCAAAATTCATAATTGGGTTTGCCACATATTCTTGCCATCAACGAACTACCCTCCAGTACCCACGTATACATGTATAGATGATTGTATGTTTTTTTCTTATTCAGGTTTGATTTGTCAAGCATTTTTCGTGTCAAGATTACCGAAAAATGGGAAGCCATCCTGAAAATGATTTCAATACAGTGGACTTAACTCCTTAATCCCTTCCCCCGTTCATATTCAACAAGCCCAAGAAACCTTGGTATTTTGTTGGGGATTTACACATATCTGGACCCAGCTATAGGCTGTGTTTGATATTGGCGGGATATATATATAACATATATATATATAACATATATATATATATAACATATATATATATAACATATATATATATATATTTCTGCATGGTTTTTCTATGTTTATAGATGATATTCCCAACATATTCCCAACATATTCCAATGATGTTCCCATGATATGAATCATAGCTGAGCTTCAGCTTCCTCATACTCCATCGCCATGGTCATGGTGTGCACTTGAACCGCGGCTCGGAGAGTTTCCACCAGTGGAACATGGATAAACATTGGATCAAGAAATGGTCATATTCTCATTCCAAGACATTCCAGGGGGTTACAGTAATTCCAATGTATTTCATGACTCGGAAACATAGGGGTTTTGTCCATTGAGAACAAGAAATGAAGCTGCAAGAGTGTGTTGATCAATAGTGACCATCAATGGTAAGCTCCCAAACTTTCTGTGTAATTTCTGATGTTTTTTCCATACACACCAAAATTTCCGATTAAATTGTCGGAGGTCGCTATCACTTTTCTGGTCGGAATATGCCAAAACCATGAGTAATTTGAAGGTCACCTTCCCCAACATGATGAGGAAAGGCATGATTTGAATGTCTGTATTGTAGTCATTGATGACTGGTGGGTGTGTTTGTGAACCCAAAGTGTGAACTCTGATGTCAAAGCATCCCAAACAAGATCTTCATACAATGATACACATGTTTCAGCCTACTAATCACTTTTAATCTCCAGTGGTGGCTGAGAGCGTGACTGGATCATAGCCATGCTGTCCAAAGGCTGCTTCCCAAATTCAATAGTCGTATATTCTATCTCCTACTTATCTTGCTCATCACTATTTTGCATTGCTTATGTCACTGAATCCACATTTTGGTCACAAATTTACTGGAAAAAAACACATCTGATAGCCTCTTAGACTGGATGCCTGTATTCCCATGTGTCCCACAGTGGTCGTTTGGTCGCCTCCCTCAGGTTCACGTTGGTTTCGATCGCCGCCTGCAATGGCAGGTTTTGGGCTGATTTTTTGCCATACACATGGTAGGTTTGGGGAAATTTATTGTCAACCATGGAGACTTTCAAAGAAACGATATGTGATACATGTGATGTTAGTCAACTAAAGATATTTCACTGACTGTAAATGTATCCAACGAACACAGCTGGGGATACCTTTCACCAACCAGGGTGATAGCTCTACTTAACTATTTCTCTGCCAACGTAGAGCGACTATGCTATTTCTTACGGTCAATGTCTGGTGGCCGTCACCCAACCTGACATGGCCATGGGGATCAGCAAATGATCAGATGGGTGGTGGTGACTTTTGGCAATCGCTGATAAAGCAGGTTCTTGGAGCGAGGGGAAACCAATATTTGACCTACCCTCTGGTTATGACTAACATAGCTATCGAAAATGGCCATAGACATAGTAGATTTACCCGTTAATAGCATGGTGATTTTCCATAGCTATGTAACAGTTTACCAGAGGGTATTTGACCTATACACACATATCTCATGGCTGGTTTTGTCAATTGGAGACGCCCCAATTCCATTGATTCTCATTCTTTCCCCATCATGGCCATGGCTGGGAAACCCATCCTCCGCATATGGCAGGCAAACAAACCCACCACATCCCCAGCTGAGTCACATCCAATCGCTGTCGCGCAACCATCTGCGCTTGCCTCAGTGAAAAAACAGTCCAGATCCTGGACCCTTTGACGGTTCTATCTGGAGAAGGGAAAACCATGCCGTGAGGTTACACCGTTACACCATGACTTACTGATGCGTTTTACGCAGGGAATTTTCGGGAATGATCCATAATCATCCATAATCACTATCAATAATAATTCCAGCAACCCCCATTCCCATCCATTCCCTACTAAGCACTAGTAAGAAAAAAATGGAGAGACTCCACACCGCTAGTGGTACAGGTTATGTTTGTCATTCACCCACTGCCAATCAACATCCACCATGTCGTTGGCTGGACTCTCCCTTTGTACAGGTTCTTATCATGTTTGATTCATTGATGAAACCCCCATCATTGCTGATGCAACCCCCAATATTGTCCCTTAACTTTTAGCTGATCTTCATACTTATCTTGGCATATGCTCATCGTTGTTCCCCTCACACTTGCTGCTTGGTTTATCATCATTTCCCTATCATCCAATGGCCATAAAGACACATTCATATATCATTTTGTTGGTGGAATATCATATATACATGTATATATTTGTATATATTGTACGTAATTAAATGTATATATATATATACATATCCTATATCCCCAGAGTACATGGGTGGTTTTCTAACCCGTTTTTGTGGTTTGAATCCAGCTCCGTATTTTTGGAATTTGTTTAATGGAAATCTCACTAGCCCACATTCGTGAAGCCCAGTTACAGTATATCCATTACATCCCAGTTCAAGTTCTTGTGATCCCCACAAGGTTCATCATATCCCCATGGTACACCCATGACATCATCATTATTACCCATAAATGGCGGGCAAATTCCTGATGAATCCCTATTTTGGGCGGGTGAATATGCATTTTGTTGCGCAGTTTCAACCACTTCGATTTGCTGCAGAGGTCCCCAAAAAATAGACCGTATTCCCCATGGATGTTTCACTGGGAACCCAAATCCCCGACCAAACAAACCCAGGACCAGCAGATTTGTTGCAGAAGTTCCCCCCAAAATCCCTATTTATAGATGGTTAAAATCCATTAAGATCCCATTAAAACACTATTTTTTATCTATGTTTGATAGTGAAATTCTATTAAAATCCAAATTTTTGATGGGTTTTCATGGTTCAATCCCATTAAATCCACTATTTTTCACCGTTAAACTCATTAAACCACCATTTTTCCTAGTTAAATCCCATTAAATCCACCATTTTTCATGGTGAAATCGCCCGAGCCGAGGGCCGCCTTCCAAAGACGTTGGCCGGTGGCAGCTCCAACTTCGCCACCTGGCGGCCATAGTCCGGGCGACCCGGAGGCAGCACCACCTGCGGAGATGGAGAGATCACCAACATTCTGTTCTGTAGATTTTAAATGTACAAATATATATATATAGTGATTACAGTATTTATATACCTGATATTTATTAATCACTGTTCTGTATATATATATATATGGTTAATAGTGATTAATAGTGGTTAATAGTGGTTATAAGTGATTAATACCTGATCTGATAAATAATATATACTGGTTGGTGGTATACCTAGCCCTTCTGAAAAATGATGGAGTTAGTTCGTCAGTTGGGATGATGACATTCCCAACTGAATGGAACCATAAAAAAAGTTGCAAACCACCAACCATAAATATATATATATATGATTATATATATGATTATGATTATATATATATATGATTATATATATATATGATTATATATATATATATATGATTATATATATTTATATATGTATATAATTATAGATATAAAAGTAAGTTATGTAAGTTATGTAAGTAATTGCAAGTATGTAATATACTCCTAAACAGCACTATCCTATCCACAACCTATCTGTGAGTCAAAAGGCCCGTCTCCTGGCAAAGATTAACATTGACCAACAAACATCCAAAGAAGCCTCCAGTGAATCAACTGGGCAATTTCATTTCCCACACTTTTGTAGGAAATTGATTTACTTTCCACCAAGTTTTTTGTAAAATGATTTATCAATCAGGATCTTACCAGTCAAAAATCACATGTGCGGATGAAGATTTCCGATTTTTTTTCGTAGCACATATCCAGTCTTGAGGTGGCCATAATGCAAACCCCCAAGCCACAAGCTACCCAACAAGAATGGGTACCCTCTGGTAATTTAACATAGCTATGGAAAATCACCATGATTAATGGGAAAATCCACTATTTCTATGGCCATTTTCAATAGCTATGTTAAATTACCAGAGGGTAAAACCAATTCAATTTGGTGGTGGATACAATCCCAATTGACATCCATTTACATGGAATGGATCGACACCCTGAACATTCCAAACAGATCATAAATAGTTTCTGCTGGCATGTTGCTACCCTTGCATTATGGAGGATCATGGTGGCTCTCGTCAGGTTGCACGTGCTAGCGGAGAGGACGGTGTCCAGCTTCAGCACCTGGTGGATGCAACTTGTGGTACGGTCTGCCGAACCACAAGGCCTTCATCGATGCTGCTCTCGGTGTTCCTTGACGTGGTGTGACCAAAGGCGCCTGCCGATGCTGGCCCTGCAAACGGCTGGTACTATACCTGTCGTCTTGTTTGGAACTGCGAAGAGCTCATTGGCATTCTCTGTGCGAGATTACTTCCGAGAATGGGAGACACTATCAACGTCCATGTGGACGGGTTTGAATATGTTTACTTCCAGTTCTACATGTGCATCCCAGCTAGTAAGTGATTAGTAAATGTTGACAACAGTTAATGAACTGTGTCTATAATCCAGTCATATACACAGGACTGGTTCTCCAGTTAAAAATGAGTGGATGCAAGTCCAAGAAAGTGGGAGGATCATCCATTTTGATGCTAAAATAATTCACGCCCCAAGTCTTTTAGCTGGCAGCTGGTGGAACCCTATTTTTTTTCTGTGTTGACCAGTTGAGCGTTCATTTTTGATGGTTAAACATGTTAAAACCCATTCAACCACCAGCCTTGATGCTTAACATTGCTTAACATCATCCCAATCCAGTACTTGCTGGACACATTTCCATGAAATCACTGTTGGGCAACATCACATTGCCCTCTGGTAAACGTTTACAGTTTGCTATTGAAAACTGCCATTTGTTATTATTTATTTCGTGAGTTTTCCCATTAAACATGGTGGATCCTTCCATAGTTAACAGTTTACCAGAGGGTAATTCACAGCACCATTTCTTACCAGTTGAATCCGCTGACACCCATGACAAAAACCATGGCGACGACGACCCTAACCCCTGGGCCTCGCGACTCTGAGTGCTGTAGGCATTGCGACCTTCCGCAATCTCCCGACCAAAGTCCTCCAGATTTCGCTGGTGAACGAACCCAACAAATCATGAACTGCTTGGTGGGTTTAATCGTCTTGAAAAATGATGGAGTTCGTCAGATTGAATCATCATCCCAACTATGAAAATAATCCAGTCATGTTCCAAACCACCAACCAGTTAATGACATCGCAGTTTTTGGTGGATCACATCCCATTTCGCTGGTTAAATCAACATCAACGCCCAAATTTCTGGTTGGTTTGAAGCGTCAATGCTGGGGGACTGGGGACCCCAAGTTGGTCCTTGATGGAACAATAGGCCTCGACATCCATGGCTGCTGGGCCCACCGTTTGTGTCAACACGGACTGGTAACCTGCGAAGGAGGGTTTCCATGAGGATGTTACCAACACACATATGGGATATTGTGGGATAGCAAATCAAGCTGGGACTTTAAACATAGACATGCATGAATTCCATGTCAGGAATATGACCCAAATGAACTACCACCAGCAACAAGGGAGTACTATCAATTCAGGGTACTGCATATCCAGAAATTGGACAGTTGATAATCAATCGTGGGATGCTTTCAAATTTTCTGCCCTGAATGGGCAAACAAGGCAATACAGTTGGTGATACGAATCAACATGAGCAAATCAACATATGGGAATGGGCCAAAGTCAAAATTTAAGGCCAAGGGCACCATAGATTTGGGTCTATTTGTAGTATTGACCATCCAATTTTTGAGGTACCTAGCTTTGACCCAAAACCCAATATGGTATGGGTAGAGTAGAATATCAGGCACAGGCAACCACCTAGACACCAAGCACAACCATACCAGTCACAAATTCACGGACACCAAATATCCTGCACGAATCCGGATTTTCAGCTGGGTATCACATTCCCATAGGATCCATGTATGGTATATATGCTAACATTTGGGGTATATGGATGGTAAATGTTACCATATATAGCATACATGGATCCTATGGGATTACCTGCAAAAAATTGGCAAACCCTTGGGCTTTTAAACGACGATTTACCCATCAGTTTCCCCAACCCCTCGTCGCACCAAGTGGCTCGTTTGAATAGGCGCCACTGGGACACCCGGTGCACTGGCTTGATGCTGCAGCTGTGACCACATGCTGCCTGAGGTGGTGGCCACGTGTTTGGAACACGTTGAAACGAATGCAGATCCAGCCGCACATTTTCTTGCCCTGGAGAGCATGAGTCTAAATGTCATTGAAATCATTTTCGACCCTGGAGCTGTCACCGCCACGGATTGAAGCGCCCCAGGTCACCACGGTTCCATCTGCCAAAATGGCAGCAAAGGAAGATCCCGTGGCAGAAATCTGCTGGACATTCCTGAGCTGATCTTGGACCCTGGAGCTGTCACCACCATAGTTTGGAGCGCCCCAGGTCACCACGCTTCCATCTGCCAAAATGGCAGCAAAAGCAGACCCCGTGGCAGAAATCTGCTGGACATTCCTGAGCTGATCTTGGACCCTGGAGCTGTCACTGCCATGGTTTGGAGCGCCCCAGGTCACTATGCTTCCATCTGCCAACATGGCAGCAAAAGCAGACCCCGTGGCAGAAATCTGCTGGACATTCCTGAGCTGATCTTGGACCCTGGAGCTGTCACCACCATGGATTGGATTGCCCCATGTCACTACGCTTCCATCTGCCAAAATTGCAGCAAAAGCAGAACTCGTGGCAGAAATCTGCTGGACATGCCTGAGCTGGGCTTGGACCCTGGAGCTGTCACCACCATGGATTGGATTGCCCCATGTCACTACGCTTCCATCTGCCAAAATGGCAGCAAAGGAATTTCTCGTGGCAGAAATCTGCTGGACATTCCTGAGCTGGGCTTGGACCCTGGAGCTGTCACCGCCATGGTTTGGATCGCGCCAGGTCACCACGGTTCCATCTGCCAAAAGTGCAGCAAAAGCAAACCCCGTGGCAGAAATCTGCTGGACATTCCTGAGCTGATCTTGGACTCTGGAGCTGTCACCACCACAGTTTGGATCGCCCCAGGTCACCACGCTTCCATCTGCCAAAATTGCAGCAAAAGCAAAACTCGTGGCAGAAATCTGCTGGACATTCCTGAGCTGATGTTGGACTCTCGAGCTGTTGCCACCACGGCGTTGGTCGCCCCAGGTCACCACGGTTTCATCTGCCAAAATGGCAGCAAAGGCACTCTCTGTGCTACAAATTTGCTGAACATTCTTCAGCTGATGTTGGACTGTGGAGCTGTCACCACCACCGTCTGGATCGCCCCAGGTAACAACCCTAGCCGCTCCAACGCACCACAAGGAAAATGCACACCATGTTGCAGCTATCTTTGGCCGCTGAACAACAGCAGTAAGGCTGTCACCATCTTGAAGCCCTGACAGGCGAAGAGAGCTTGCTGAATTCGGTTCCCATCAGCTGCAGCAAGCCTGAGGAAACGTTGCCCAAACGACTGTTGTGCAGCTACTTTCAAGTCAGCAATGGTGCCTCCTGCCATGGCACGGCTACGGTGAGCAGATTCTCTGGTACAAAATGGCTAACATCTTAGGAACATCATTATCGTTGCTTGTCTCGTTTTCCATTGAGTTGATGAGAGCCAAGCTCACCATGCTTTTGGCTAAGGGCTGGTGATGAGATATCCAACTGATGCCTGTCCACCTTCTGAAACTCATGAGTATCCCGTGATGAATCCATGAGAAATCGTCATCAAATCACAGGAAGGCACCAGCAAAATGGTCCACTAGATCACCATTTTTCTTTAATCACTTGATGATCATGGTTGAGTTGATTTGAGTTGATTTGATTCGTACAATATTGTATAATACCTGCAAGCACATTTTTCACTGCCGAATCTTGGGACTGAACGAAAAATGCTGACCCGCACATGCCTGGATAAACCCATGTTTTGGATAGGTAAATGGATATAGATGCGGAATTCAAACACATGGAAAGGGCAATCTAAATGGACATCTAAGGAGTGATATAATTCCATCTGCCGATCATTTCAAACGCCACCAGAAATCTCACTCAACTGTATGCATCCAAGGCTGAAGCGAGCTTTGGAAAATGGGGTATTTATCGAGGATTTCATCAAATGGGGTCCCCTCCAACCATTCGTTTCCATAAAACATCAATGGCCATTTCAGGAACCGATTTGTTGGAGGTACCTACCATATATAAGGCCTATTTTTCAGGCCTATATAATTTCCATTGAAAACAGGAAGCATCTTGGATGCCTTGGGGTATCTTTGTGTTGGAACCATCGTAGGATGTGGGATGCCATGGTGTCAAAGCCAAAAAGAATTCCCACTGACGATGCTTGTCTGAGAGGTCGGTTTCTTACCTATATGCAACCCATGGTGCTGGAATATGAATCCCAACATTTACTCCATTCTTATGACCCAGTTTTGTAGGTAAATATACCAGCACCATGGATATACATGGAGTATATGGGTTATGATGACAATGGCTTCTGAAATTCAAATTATCATCGCAATTCTTTGATTCCTACTGACAATGTTGATATCAAACTGGGGCTTCTCATCATTTTCCCAGTTCTCCCATAATGGGTCAACTATTAATGCCTTATCATTACTACTACTGCTACCACTGCTACCACTACTATTATTATCTAATTGCTGGTATACCTACCCCCCTGAAAAATGATGGAGTTCGTCAGATTGGATCATCATCCCAACTATGAAAATAATTACCCTCTGGTAATTTAACATAGCTATGGAAAATCATCATTTTTAATGGGAAAATCCACTATAAATGGCAATTTTCCATAGTTATGTTAGTTTACCAGAAGGTAAAAGTCATGTTCCAAACCACCAACCACTTATTGATCCCTCCTGATGAACCCCAAGTCCTCCCAGATTTTGGAAAAATCGGTCGCTCCCCGATCGAAACCGCTAATCTTCCCATCTCAAAAACGCCGCGCTGCTGTAGTCCGAAGGATACATCGAAGACACCGTCCCAGGGAGGGGCCGAGGCATCTGGCCCACCTGGCGACTAGCGCTTGATCCTCCAAGGACCTCCAAAACGATGGTAAAAATACGAAGATTGTGGGGTAAAACGCCAATTTCTAAAGGGAAATTAAAGGGTCAAACGGTAGTGATGTTTTTGGGTGACTTTAACCTCACTTGACCATCGAACATGGTGTTTCATGGGATTTAAGCTGATCTTTTTGGGGGCAGTTCCAGTTGTCGTTGTGGGTTCTCCCCAGCAAACATATGAGATATATGATTTATGTTCACTATAGATCACTATAGGATATATGTGGGGTTGTGTGAAAATAGTGAACCCCAAATTCCGCTTAAATTTTGCTCATCACTTAACCAATTTAACCAAATGAAATTGCTACAACATGGCTGTCAATCACGAATTCATATACCCCATATCCCCATATATTGCTGGTGAAATCCCCATGATATCGCATGGGATTCCCATTGGGCTGGTTGGTTCAATCCCAATAGTAGCAGCTATAGGTCCCCTTTTTTTCTGCTGACCATATCTGTTGAAATCGCAGGCGAAATCCAAATTTTCATGGGTCAAGCATGATCTTCCCATTCTTTTCCCAATAAACCACCATTTTCCTTGAAGTCCAATGTTTCATGGTCAAACCATGCGCATTTTTCATGGTCATTTGACCACCTGAAAATCACACCCAAATTGCACCAAGGACCTGCCGTAGCTGCCAGGGAGTGGCCGATGGACTCACAGGTGGCACCTTAGGACTGGATAGGAAACAACATCTAACCATGGTAAAATGGTGATGTATATGGAAAGATCCACCATTGATCATGGGTAAATCAACTATTTCGACTGGGCCATGTTCAATAGCTATGTAACAAATTACCAGAGGGTAAAAACATGCTGAGGCACATCATTCACCTCATTTTTGTTGTTTTTTATTTGGCATTTACCCAAACACATACCAAAAGTGACCTCGGCCAGTGAGGATGCCACCTTTGAACGGGAAATCCCTATGATTTCAATGGGAAACTATCCGCAAATCTAGGATGATAGAATATGATAGATCTGAAAAAAAAACAATTCATGATCTTGGACGAAGGAGATCATCTTCACATCTGGAATTTATATTAGGTTTGTTGGACATTGAAAGACAAATTGGTGAATTTTGATATGTAATAACATAGGACACGGGAATATCTATGGTTCAACAGGTTTAGAACATTAAAGTACAAACCATGGGTCATCTTCCGATGGTATTTTCGAGAAGTTCAGCAATTAAAAAAAGGGGTATCAATCCATAGTGAGGAAAACTAGAACCCAGAATTTCGGATTTTGGGTCGAAAATTCACAAGAAGCCAATTACTGTATATAATTGGTCTAAGTAACCCCCTTGTATCAACAAATCAACAGGGGTTTCCTTGATGGCTCAAATGTTTGTTGCTACAAATTGACCCCCTGTTGACCCATTCACCACCAGCCATCACTAGTGGATCCGAGTCCCCCAAACATAACACAAAGTGGTCGCTAGTTTTGCGAATCTGTCTCCAGCATACCAGATCAAACATCTTGCTGTTATAGTTATAGTTATAGTTGCGTATGTGTGATGTTTCGTGCACGTTCAGCAGTGGAAAACGCTTTGGATTTCAGATCCACCTGATCCCAGGACATCCCAGGAACGTGCGCTTGCGACAAGACTTCATTGGGAAGCAGGCCTGGCAGCCAGAGCAGCTCGGCAGGCTGAAACCAAGATTTTGATGGTATCAAACCAGGTCAAAACATCAAACAAGGAGGAAGACTCTGATTCAATCTATGGTCAATCTGGTTTGCTATTTACAAATGTCATGGTTTCCAAAAAAATCCATTAGGCTCAACTAAGGTTTATCCCTTTTGGCCGGGGTGCTGTCCCAACATCCTCTGTGCGGACTACCTTCCATCAAGCAAAGCACCTTAAAGAAAGTGGTTTCAGCCAATCCCACTTTTTTCTGCAATCAATTGGCAACTGCTTGCTCTAGATCATGGACATGGAAAAACAGTGAAAAGCATATGTTTCGACAAAACAAATCATACATGTCTACCGACATGCCACTATGTCAGATGACGTGCCAGCGAACACAAAGAAGACATCTCGGTGGGCCGGTGTGTTCAAAATCTTCGAACTCCAGGTTCGAAAGAATCAACAACTGCCAAATGATGGACCACGCCAAAAAAAATGGGGTTGTCATCCCAACCTGCTACTGTTTTTTGGTTTTAACCCTGTAATTTTTGGCATTCTATGACGCCATTGATACCTGGTAGGGGTTGACCTCATCAATCTGCAGGCCATTTTTGGCGGCTGTGGAGGCTTGTAATACCTGTACTTCCACGTGGTATTGTTGTGCTCTTGCAGGACCAGATCAATTCTAAGTACATCCACATCCAGTGAAACCAAAACATCCTTGCATCCAACGGAGGGAAGTCAAGCTTCAATTGTTGAGTTCGGAACCAGGTGTGATCCATTCTCAAATCTAGTTCAAGAAAAGGAATGCAGCAGACAATGTGCTGCCAGCCAGCGTTCAAAAAAACCTATCATGCCAGCTGACCCAGGCGCGCCTCGTGCCAAGTTGGGTGGAAGACACATACCTCCTGCATTGCGGAGGGTCCAATGAAGCTTCGGGGGAATGTTTATCAAGAACCACCAAATTAATCAACGAGTGGGTGAACCCTCTCATCATCCCCTATCACCCTTATGACCCCTATGACCCCTATCACCCCATCAAACAATCAAGCAGTCAAGTCTGGTCTAGTCAAGTCAAGACAACTGACTTCCTCACTCGCTCCTCAGTTCACTCGTGCACTCACGCACAACCAAACCGTAAATTATTTTTGCCCCCCCCCCCCGGCTTGGTCCAGGTAAGATTGGTAAGGGAATGGCAGACGTTCAGATCAATGACCATTTAAGGAACCTAAATTGGAGGTACCTACCATATATAAGGCCTATGTAAGGCCTATGTAAGGGGATATCCCCACAAAACATGGCCTTATATGGTATAGTACCTCCAATTTAGGATCCTGGAATTCCCATTGATCAGAAGAGATAAGACACTTTAGTCTGAATCTTCAACGACTATCATTTATCAGCACTTTTTTTTCTGCGGAGCATTTTTCATCCTACAATGAGAATGCCCATGCAGAAAAACAATGTGCTTCCACTGAAACGACCAGAAATTTCACATGATCTCACATTCATAGTAGTAAAAGCATGAGAATGCTGAACGATGGATTTTTTGATGCGAACATATCCAAAAAGTTCCACCGAGCAACCCTCTAACAGTTCATCTCAGTCATGTCTGGCTGTTTCACCCCCATCAACATCCCGAACTACCCAAATTACCATCCCAGGCCATGATCACGACCCTTTTCCAGCGACCAACGGCTGACTGATCATTGCAGCGTTTGAAGTCTCCATTTACAGCGCGCATTGAAATCCCAAGCGTCAAGGCTTGATAGTTGCCATCCAGACCGCAATAGACGCTGCATTTGCCCACGCATGGCGGCTTTGTCCATGATACTTTTGTTGTAGAGTTTCTCAGCATATGTCAATTCACTCCACTTCTTGATCAGCTTCAAAGGGTCTGCTTCCGCCAGGTCGCACCCTGTCACAGCACCTGAGGTCCAAAGTGCAATCTAAAACCCAAGGAACTCTGACTCACTAGGATGAACATGAAACCGCAGCAAAAAATGATGACAAATAATGAGAAAGAGAAAGGGTGAAAATGATAACAACTCTTAGACCAAGCGCACGTTCCTCCAGCTTGATGAAGTGCCAGCTGGCACTTCAAAGCTGCAAGTTCAGCGCGCGCAGACAAGTCAAATCCCACCCGTTCATCTTCATAGATGGCTTTCAGTTTCTGCACTGAACTCGCCGGCTCACTGTACAAATATGCAATGCGGCAGGAGTTGTCCTCCGTGGGAAAAGCATCTTGCACTTCTTTGGCCAGATCTGATTGATGTACAACACCCCGCATCCACAAGAAGTTCAAATAGTCTGCCAAGAATCCCCAAGCGTTTGGCTTTTGCCCTGGGTGGATGCGTTGCGTACGGTCAAGGCTAGGCCCAGAGCCTAATTGTTTCCAAATTTGAACAGCAAGAACATCAGCTTCATGGCGAACTGATTCCCAATCCTTGTGGGGCTGCTGGCCTTCGTCGATGAGTTTCATCAGAAAAGTTTTCATTCTCACAACTAAATCACGAGAGCTCATATTAGCAGAAATCTCGCGTGCTTTGTCAACTTGTCCCAGACCAACAGCTTCAGCCATGAGAAAATAATCAAGTTCGAAACTGCCATCTTCGAAAGGCCACACAGGAATACATTTCTTGGCAGCACCAATGCTGCGTAGCCACATCTTTCTATCGTCATTGTAAAATGATTGAAACAAAATGAGCTGTAACTTCCGAATTTTTCCATTGGCTGTGCTGAATTCATCTTCTTCACAACCACGTTCGATATTTGAAACCAAAGTCAAAGCCCGGTCTTGAAACTCCTGTGCAAAACCCAGATCCAGAAACTTTGTCCACATTCTCGCCCAGGGATTCATTTTGTGGCCTAGGTCTCCCTCCTCCATCTGTTGGAAAGGTTGTGCGTAGGTGGCTATATCCTTCAATTCGGATCGGATGTCTTGCTCACCTCTGCGCTCTTTCCTGAATTTGCGGTGGACAGAAACCATGCAGCATAGGAGTATGAGCAACAATTCCACAGTCAAAATCTTCTCACCGGGAAACTAACCTGAAAGTGGAAAATCCATCATGTGCAAATGGTGACTTTAGGCTTCCATATTAGTTTCCCAGAGGGTCCATCAAAACACAACCAGGTTTCGCCAGCAGCTCGAGTATGATTTTTGCAAGTCGTTGCGCGGCATTCAAGTTATCCTTGAAACTTTTTGCCCTATCACCGCCTTGTGCTTCAACATCTCTCAGCAATGCCTGTATCGGCGAATCAAGAGCAAGGTTTGGATACTGCTTTAGCTGAAGAAGAATCTGTGCAAAAAGGTCAAACCCACTATCGTCAGCCCTGTACTTGCCACTCTCACCGTGCTTCACCACCAAGACAGTGATGTCGCACCCTGGAAAATAAGGAAGCATGCGCTTGAGCACTCTTGTACTCCTCTTTGCTCCTATCCAGGAACAAAAAATATATATAAAAAGATGTCTGGCATCCAAAGCAGCCTCTTATCATGGCAGTTATAAAATCAAAGGGCAAGAGACACAATGCACACGGAACGTTGGAACATATTGGGATTGGAGCTCGCTAGCCTATATGTCCGCGCCTGGATTGCTGCTGAAGAACCTGCTCCACTCTTTATCTACTTGCAGCCTCGACTTTCTACCCCAGCGAACGTTGTCATAGGTAAAATGCCCAGCTACCGGGACAATTTCCCAGCGCCTGTTGTAAATACGATCTCTCAGTCGGATAGCCTTGCTTCCCTTAAGACCTTCAGGGTCTTCGTAAAAGTACCTGCTGCGGTTCATTTCTTCAGCAAACTGATTCCACTCCTCTGGGGTGATGTCCCGGCTGGCATCGAAACAGAAATCCAGGTCGCTTTGGTCACCCGGATCACCACTTGCAGTTTTGATGTCCGTGCCAAACAGTGAAGAACCACTCAACTTGAAGGTGCAAAAATCATGTTTCCAAACACGACCAGCACAGGAAACAAACTCATCCACAACTACAGTCATGAATTTGCTTGGAACGTCATCGGCTTTGATTGAGTCTGCTAGATTGCTGAAGCTTTGCTTCAGACCATATACCTTGGTGAGATTTTCAAAAAAATCAAGATCTGCTGAAATGCGAGGCTCAGGCTCAACCCCCAAATCGATGAATGCCGCATCCCTGTCCTTGGACGATGCAGTCCGGGAGGTCCCCAACCTTTCACCTCTTCCCAGAATTATCTGTCTTTGGATTGGAGGACGGCTGTTTGGGCGCTGGTTGTTTTGGTTGTGGATCAGGCTGTCCAGCATAAGGTCCAGAATAACGCCCATACTCGCACAAAATGCACATGCCAATAAGAAGTAGGAAGGACAGCGTGGACGTTCTCTTTGAGGCCTGGGCATGGACACGTGTGGGCATAGCTACAGAAACGTGATCGCGATGTTTGCTTGAGACAAGGCTGCAGCGAAAACCGCAACGAGCTTCAGCACTAACCTCTGGTTATTTAACCTAGCCATGGAAAATGGATGAAAATGGCGAATTTATAGATGGTTTTCTCATTAAACATTGTGATTTTCCAAAGATTAAACCCAGAGAACCCATCCCATCTCCTGTAGAGATGGGAAGTTGGGGCGAAGCCGGATCCTGGCAATGCCGCAATGCCCGTCCGAAACCGGCGATTTTCGGGATGAAACCAGTCAGTTTGTGGAGCGTTGAAACCAAGAAACCTTGGGGTTTTATACTGTTCTATGGAATAACCAACCATGATGGATCTAACCAAGAGATATAGCTGATACAATGGAGCTATGAAGACCTTTGGGGATTCAATGCGGATTTAAATATACTATCACACAACCAACTCAAAAAACGGAAAGATATCTACAACCGTTGTAGGATTTTGCATTTCTATCTTTTGATTGCTATAATAGATCGATAATGTAGGGGATTCTGGTGTATTTGGCTGTTCACAAAATAGAGTTGTAGTGGAATGGTACCTTAAAGATCCTTAAAGTTGCAATCTTGATGGGCAACATTCTGATAAATCTGGATTTGCAGATGATCCTAACATTTCCCAATCTGAAATCCTCTACTTGGGGAATCTATAGGGGAATTGTATATATATATAAAATAAAAACGTACATATCTATATCTGTCTCTATCTCTATCTCTATCTCTATCTATCTATCTATCTATCTATCTCTCTATCTCTCTATCTCTATCTCTATCTCTCTCTCTCTATCTATCTATCTATCTATCTTTCTTTCTTCTATCTATCTATCTATCTATCTATCTCTCTCTCTATCTCTCTATCTCTCTATCTCTCTATCTATCTATCTATCTATCTCTCTATCTCTCTATCTCTCTATCCATCTCTCTATCTATCTATCTATCTATCTCTCTATCTATCTATCTATCTATCTCTATCTCTATCTCTATCTCTATCTATCTATCCCTCTATCCCTCTATCTCTCTATCTCTCTATCTCTATCTCTATCTCTATCTCTATCTCTATCTATCTATCTATCTATCTCTCTCTCTATCTATCTATCTATCTATCTCTATCTATCTCTATCTATCTCTATCTATCTATCTATCTCTCTATCTAATCTATCTCTCTATCTCTCTATCTATCTATCTATCTATCGATCTATCTATCTATCTATCTATTGATAAGGCAAGGCCACTATTAATACCATTCGAGATGACCTCCAGTGTCACCATGAAGCACCGATGATCGTGTAGGTGCGGTCGAGGTGTTTGGACTGGAGGATGCAGCTGCATTTGGCTCATCTGACGTTGTTCGGTGGATGGGATCAGCGACCGGGACTTGTTGTAAGGCTTGGCATCTTTGTTTAAGTCGAAGAATCGCTTCAGCTGTACGGAAGATGAGCATGGCATCCGCAAGCATGGTGTGGAGGTCAGCATGAATGTTCACGTCATAAGACAACAAGAACCAGTCACGGAAAGACTCCAGGGCCTGGATGGCCGTGTAAATACATGGGGCCATAGGGTCAAAACCATCGAGTAGTATGTCACTGAGTGGCCTGGAGTCAGGCGGAAGCGCAATGTTCAGCGGTGTCTCTGCCGCTTGATCGGGCCAAAGCGCCCTTTCCATCATGTACAAGGATTGGCTCAGCTGGGTCCATAAAGTCCAAATAGACTCCAAGTAGCGCGGGCGGCCACAATGTTGCAGCAATGTCGACAACCCTGAACCGGTGACCGCTCGAGCACAAAAGAGATGGCCTCACTGTGGCTCTGTTGGTTTGAGTTCCCTATTTTATGACCAAACAGAAATTCTAATTCTAATAGTTGAATCAATCCCTAATTTTCTATAATCGAATCAACAGCAAATTCTGAATTTTCCTAATGGCATTTTCCCAACCCAAAATGGATCCCACCACAAAACTTGGCTTTCTGGAGGGTCTATTCTTACCATTTCCGCCTCAGCTTCGACGCGCTTCAACTGCACCTGGACCTTGTCCACGGGCGCTGCCTGAATTGTTAGATGGTGAGTAAATGGCGAGTATATCATCTGGTTATTTAACATAGCCATGGAAAGATCCACCATTTTATAGCTAGGTAAACCACCTATAAATGGGCTATTTTCCATGGCAAACTGTTAAATAACCAAAGGATAAAGGGCGAGTAAGTGGACAAATCACATGATGTGATTGGAGTAAATGATCCATTGCAATGGGATGATCCAGATGCTGTCTGGGTGTCTGGGGTCCAGTCCGCCGCATTCGACTGGGGGAATCCCATGGGAACCACAAGCGCCACCGGCACCAGAAGCATCTGATCAACTCTCACTCGATGGCCATAGAAAATCCACCGTTTTGTTCGATGTTTTTCCCGTCTAAATGTTCAGTAGTGGATATTCCCATCTTTTCCTACAGGGGGCCCCCAAGATAGCTAAGTTGCCTTATAAGTGACTTCACTATGGTTTATGGTAGATATAATAAACTAGTTAATGGGCTTTAAAAACCAAGTGTTTTTTCATTTCCCAAGTTATAAACCCCATTAACTATAGTTCTAACCCTCATTAACTATAGTTTTTTTTTCCAGCTTAAATGTGTTTTTTAAATATGGAATTGGAAGTTCATTTCCAAGTTCGCCACGTTTGACCGCTGGGTGAGTTCTCCTGTCGTTTGTACCTCCAAGGCAATCTTCTCCTCGGAGGTCAATGCTTCCAATTCGCCCCGGGCCTGCAATGGCTGGTTTTGAGGATCTGACATCCTCAAATTGGGGGTTGAATGGGGGTTGAATGATTTTGAGATATGCTGAACATGTTTTGAAGCATACCTAGATCCGAAACCAATCCCATCATTTGATTTACCTGGGAGATGTAGCTGTACCAATGTGCGGTGGGAAGATGCTGACCAGGTGTCTACAGATTATGTTTCACATTGCAAAGATATTACACATGACATCCAAAAGATTACACTCAGGCACTAGCAAACTTTGCATCGCTTGTGCACAATCTCAGCAACAGTGGTTTCCTAGATCCTCAGTGGACTCCACCGGGCGTGCTTGGCATTCCTATCTGATTTGCATGTGAGCATGCATCGGAAATAACCCAGATATCTGGCAGCAAAGAAGATATTTGGATACCCAATCATCCACAATTGTTCATCTAAGCAGCCAGTTTTGGTGAGCTGACAACCACATCATGTTACTTGTGTTTCACACCTTCTTGCATAAACTACCCGATTCTTCTTAAACATAATTCCTATACTATTTTGTTCAATCAGCAAGTCCCAGCTTTCTTTGTTCAAAGTGCATATTCTTTATCAACCTCCCTATTTTGAGTCGGAGCCGGTCCCATTTCTACTCGTTCTCTCCCTCTGTGAGTGAAACTCCCCCAAGATCAACATCGTTGTTGGCCACAAATTGCCATGCTGCTAACCCCCATCTTTACATCAGAAATCCATTCGTTTGTCTGTGTCATGGTGCTTCTTGATAAAATCAACATCATTTCGGTGGTTACCCCCTGGTAAACGCTTACATAGCTATAGAAAATCACCATTTTGAATAGGCAAATCATAAAGAACTAAATTGGGGTAATTATGTTCAATTATGTTCAATAGCTAATTATGTCAAATGACCAGAGGGAAAATCCCACTAAAATCACAATTTTTGTTAGTTAAATCCCATGAAAAACCACCATTAAACCACCATTATCAGAGGGTAAACCTCCATTTTCCTATGGTTTTCCTATAGTTTTCCTATGGTCTTCCCATTAAACCACCATTAAACCACCATTATCAAAGGGTAAACCTCCATTTTCCTATGGTTTTCCTATAGTTTTCCTATGGTCTTCCCATTAAACCACCATTAAACCACCATTATCAGAGGGTAAACCTCCATTTTCCTATGGTTTTCCTATAGTTTTCCTATGGTCTTCCCATTAAACCACCATGAAACCACATCATTCCTGGACATGTTGACGATCTGAGTGTGCCATCTGGGATACGATGTCAGACATCGCCAGACCGCGACCTCCAAGTTTTCCCGCAGTTCCTTCAACTTCGCCAGCGCCTGATGTCACATATGGAGGTTAGAATCACGTGATTGCGAGAACTGAATGGTGAAAATAGTCATAGTCAGTTGTGAACAATGGCTCATTGTTAGGTGACTTGCTTGGAAACCTGAAAATAAGGATTATGATGGGGTCAATCCCATCGGTTTCTGGTTTCTCTACTTGATGATATAACCCAAGTATCATCTGGTTGGTGGTTTCAACCCCTCTGAAAAATATGAAAGTCGATTGGATCATCATCCCAACTATTGGGAAACATAAAAGTCATGTTCCAAACCACCAACCAGTCATGAATAGACTTACCCTCCGGTGGAAAATCAACCCATATTCCCATGAGATTCCCCATGGTGGATGAACCCGTGGGAAAATGCATAACCTTTTCATACACGATGATTTCTAGTGGACTATTTTGTTTTGCCTGAAACAAATACCCGGGGAGAAAAACCGCGCATTTCATGGTTGATGATACTTTTTTCCCCACGAACCTAATTTTTGGGTGGGATGAATTGGGTTCACCCACCATTTTCAGACACAGCCATATGAAGCACTCCCCCCACAGAGACGGCTTGGAGGGAAAACATTACCCATTGATTTACCCACCAAGTCTGGTCAGTCTGAGGGCAAAACCATCGGATGCCATGTTTCTTGCTTCAAACTTTCAGACAAACCCATCTTCATCGTAGTTCCGTAGTGATTTTTCTCATTCTTGCTGTTATGTATATATAATATATATATATATATCATTAGTTAATCAATGAAATGTCCATATTTGATGGATTCAAATCATCATCTTAGCTGATTGAATCCCATTCTTGATAGTTCATATCCATTGGCACCAACATGTTTGCTTTAACCATCTCCATCCCCAGCTACCCGCCTGCACATCAGCATCCGCATCCGGATCAAGCCGCCGACTGTCGACCTCCGCAGAAAATCGTGGCTTTTGGTCAATGGAAATACAAATGCCGGGAATATCCAGAAATGGTATAGTGGTTCAATATATGGTTCAATAGATATGAATGGTATATCAATGGTATCTCAAAGGTCACTGGGATTCTCCGTTTTCTCCCCATCTTTGTTTGGCTTGTTTCTAGTCGTCGCCGACAACTTGACAAATGATTTTCGCTTGAATATGAATGACATATCATGTGAAAGAATCACTGGGAAGTGATGAATAGATTCCTGAATTGCTACATATGGTACATCTTCCAATGTACCCGTACGAAGTGCAACGAAAATGACCTGAAATTTAACGGCCGAAGAGGAATCACATATTTTTTTAAATGAAAGTTTAAACCCGGTAGGCTTTGGTTCACTGCCCCAAAACGCCGCCGGACCAAGCTTTGGCTGTTTCATTTTGACCTCAACCTATGAAACTGATGCTGAAGCGATGCCAGTAGCCCGTCTGCTACGCGTAGCACGTCAAGTTTTGTGACTGGAGATGTATCAAGTTTTCCCTTCAGAATACATGTATGGTATATATGCTAACATGACTGGGGTATAATGATGGGATCCATGTTACCATATATAGCAGCACCATGGATCCTACAATGTGAGGCCCCCCAGTTATAAGTTGGTTTGGATTCGCCCCGGTAACTATAGTTATTTGCCTACCATAAACCATAGTTATTGGAGTTATAAACCAACTTAGCTATCGAACGGGGGCCTCACATTGTATGGATCCTATGACTTCTTTTTGAGCGCTTGTCCCCTCCTGACATCCCGACTACTCCCGACGTTCCAACGACGCGCGTCACACCTCCAAGGCTGCGCTGCTTGTGCCGCTGGAGCGGGTCTGCAAGGTGACTTGACATGCCATGGGATTGAACTTGGGGTTAGGCCATCAAAATAAAAAGTGTTTCAAGTTTCAAATATAAGAGTTTTTTTTCAGTGGTTCATAGATCAAACATAATCACTAATTGTACTATTGACCACTATTAAGCACTATTAACCACTAATTACTGGATCAATGGTGTGGAAAAAAACAATTTTTGAACCGTTGAACGACTCGTTTTTGATCGCGCTACCGGTGGAACTACACAGCCACGCAGTCGTCGCGACCTGTCGGTAGGTTCCAACGTGATTGGCTCGAAGCCTGCCCAAAAGGCGCTCGAGCGGAGGTGGGGTCATGATACGTTCCCCATCATAGCGCAGCAGAAATGGACTAATATCCATTATATAATATGTGGTTGATATAGTGGTTAATTGTGGTGAAATAGTGGCTAAATGGATCATAAATGTAATAGTGGTTAATACATATATAGCGATTGATAAGGATAATAAATATAGATTACCCTCTGGTAAACTAACATAACATAACTAAGATACTTGGAAATCACAATTTTAATGGGTAAATCATCGAACCACCTGGCCATTTTCCATAGCTAACCATGGAACAAAACACATCTGTGCATGTAGGTCATTACGTTCCAAATCCATTCAGGAAGACTTTTGCCATGAAGGTAAGTAAGCGTTTCATTCAGGAGAGCAACCCGGAAAAAAGGCTGGGAAATCTTCAAGTCTCTGTTCCTCTCTGGGTGATTGCACATTAACTAAAGCCTGAGCATGTGATATGCATACCATGATTTTGCGTATGAATTGGGCATATTTCCAAACTACTGCAATTTTGAGAGAGATGATCCCCTGGACATGGCCATTTTTTCAATCCTGAAGTGACAGTCCCCTATCAGCATCTGCTTCCTTTGTGCTTGGACATGCCGGTTTTGGTGCAGCATCTCCCTGTCTCCCAAGATTTTCGATGGTCACCCCTTCATTCCGCCGTCTTGAGCCCAGATTCTCATTGGTGATTGCAACCCTTTTTAAAATTACCATGACATATTAAAACCATATCAGCAAATAAGGAACAAAAGTGTATAAGATAAACCAATGATAACTTAAATGCAACCAACCCCTACCTCCATCCCACCTTTCCTCTGGACCCCTGCCTCTCCCGCTGCGCTTGCCGCAGCTTCCGCCGCTCAGGCTGCGCCGGCTCCGCCGGCTGCGCCATGACACAGTCATCAGCTGCATGGGTCCGGCTCTACTGAGCTTTGCTGATGGTTCCATGGTTGATGGTGGTCGTTGCCCCAGAAAGTTTCGATCTTTCCCTGGTTGCTGGTTGAACCTGAATAATGCATGTTCATTCTGATTCTGGGAGAACATCATTTCGTTTGTGTTTCTGGAGCCAGTAAAATGGAAAAACCATGGTTTATCCAAGATTATCATTTACCCTCTGGTTATTTTTAATATCCGCCGACCCCGGCCAGGCCGGGGCGGCGCCTGGGACCACCGCAGGTGTGGGCCTTGTCCTCTTCCAAACCCTCCAAACCTTTACCCTTAAGCAGCTTCCCCAACAGGCACCCCAGGGCCAGGGCCACAGCAATGACTTTCTATGAGCTTTCAAAGCTGCCGTTTGCCAGCCCGCAAAGGCTCCAGACGCCTCCAAAATTCCAAACCCCCAGGGCCAGGGCCACAGCAATGAGACTTTTTATGCATTTCAAAGCTGCCGTTTGCTAGCCCGCAAAGGCTCCAAACTTTCCAAAACAAAATTCCAAACACCTTCCCCAACAGGCACCCCAGGGCCAAGGCCACTTCCCCAACAGGCACCCCACGGCCAGGGCCAAGGCCACTTCCCCAACAGGCACCCCAGGGCCAGGCCACAGCAATGGCTTTCTATGCGCTTTCAAAGCTGCCGTTTGCCAGCCCGCAAACCCTCCAAAACTCTCCAAACGCTCCAAACCCTCCAAAACCCGCCAAACCCTCCAAACACCGTCCCCAGCAGGCACCTCAGATCCACCGCAGGTGTGGACCTTGTCCTCTTCCAAACCCTCCAAACCTTTCCCCTTAAGCAGCTTCCCCAACAGGCACCCCAGGGCCAGGGCCACAGCAATGACTTTCTATGAGCTTTCAAAGCTGCCGTTTGCCAGCCCGCAAAGGCTCCAAACGCCTCCAAAATTCCAAACCCCAGGGCCAGGGCCACAGCAATGAGACTTTTTATGAATTTCAAAGCTGCCGTTTGCTAGCCCGCAAAGGCTCCAAACTTTCCAAAACAAAATTCCAAACCCCTTCCCCAACAGGCACCCCAAGGCCAAGGCCACTTCCCCAACAGGCACCCCAGGGCCAGGCCACAGCAATGGCTTTCTTAGGCTTTCAAAGCTGCCGTTTGCCAGCCCGCAAACCCTCCAAAACTCTCCAACCCCTCCAAACCCTCCAAACCCTCCAAAACCCGCCAAACCCTCCAAACACCGTCCCCAGCAGGCACCTCAGATCCACCGCAGGTGTGGACCTTGTCCTCTTCCAAACCCTCCAAACCTTTACCCTTAAGCAGCTTCCCCAACAGGCACCCCAGGGCCAGGGCCACAGCAATGACTTTCTATGAGCTTTCAAAGCTGCCGTTTGCCAGCCCGCAAAGGCTCCAAACGCCTCCGAAATTCCAAACCCCCAGGGCCAGGGCCACAGCAATGAGATTTTTTATGAATTTCAAAGCTGCCGTTTGCTAGCCCGCAAAGGCTCCAAACTTTCCAAAACAAAATTCCAAACACCTTCCCCAACAGGCACCCCAAGGCCAAGGCCACTTCCCCAACAGGAACCCCAGGGCCAGGCCACAGCAATGCGTTCTTAGGCTTTCAAAAGCTGCGTTTGCAAGCCCGAAAACCCTCCAAAACTCACCCCTCCCCTCCCTACCCACCCCCTCCCTCCAAACCTCCAAACCCTCCAAAAACCCGCCAAACCCTCCAAACACCGTCCCCCAGCAGCACCTCAGATCCACGCCAGGTGTGCGACCTTGTCCTTCTTCCAAACCCTCCAAACTTTACCCTTAAGGCAACTTCCCCAACAGGCACCCCAGGGCCAGGGCCACAGCAATGACTTTCTATGGGCTTTCAAAGCTGCCGATTGCCAGCCCGCAAAGGCTCCAAACCCTTCCAAAATTCCAAACCCCCAGGGCCAGGCCACAGCAATGAGACTTTTTATGAATTTCCAAGCTGCCGTTTGCTAGCCCGCAAAGGCTCCAAACTTTCCAAAACAAAATTCCAAACACCTTCCCCAACAGGCACCCCAGGGCCAAGGCCACTTCCCCAACAGGCACCCCAGGGCCAGGCCACAGCAATGGCTTTCTTAGGCTTTCAAAGCTGCCGTTTGCCAACCCGCAAACCCTCCAAAACTCTCCAAACCCTCCAAACCCTCCAAACCCTCCAAAACCCGCCAAACCCTCCAAACACCGTCCCCAGCAGGCACCTCAGATCCACCGCAGGTGTGGACCTTGTCCTCTTCCAAACCCTCCAAACCTTTACCCTTAAGCAGCTTCCCCAACAGGCACC